CAAAGGGCACTTGTGACTGATTGCAGCTCAATGAACTTGCTGAAAAAAAAAGATGTTTAAAAGTTATGAAAGTTGTTAGAGAGACAAGGTGGGAGAGGTAATGTTTTTATTGGTGATACAAGTTTTCAAGCTTATGCAGAGCAGGTCTGAAGAAGAGTTCTGGGTAAGCTCAAAAGCTTGTACTGGACAAGTTTGGTGAGAGAGACATGATAGCAATTTTTTTTTTTACATTCAACTGACATGGCAAACCCAGAGGTGCTGAGGCTATGAACTGCCAACTCTAGAGATGCCAGGGCTCAGCCCTGGCACAAATTAAGCACTACCAACACGGCTACAATACCACCACATACAACAATGTAAGTTGTTAATTATTTGCACCATCCGCCTTTAACTCTTCATTGCTGGTTCTCCACACCAGTATGTGTTGTGATAACATGCAGTATCATTCCATTTATTACAACATTCCACTGAAACATACCTGCTATACCAATTTAATTTATTTTGTGCCTGACATACAGGCCTGGTGTGTTAATCAGCAGCAAAAAGGTTAAACTCAGTAATTGTTACGTTATCATATCACCATTAGAATTATATGCCTGTGTTTCACTTCCATGTGGATTTTAAAGCTTGTCCCCCCAACCCCCATGCTCACAAGCAACACTGAACAGCTGAAAATAATCACACAAAGATATTCATGCTAGGCAGGGTAAGACCTTTTAGCTCAGATTTACCCCCGTTTACATCTACTTTTGCCTACATAAGCTAAGATGGTGGTTGTTTATAAGGTAAAACTTAAGCTCTAAAAGCACCTTTAAAACATCAGAAATGTCAAGTTGTGTCTTCTCTGTTCTACTGGAGCATACATTAGATAGCCAGAGGGCTGAAGTTGGGGATTTCTCAGCCCTCAATTGAAGAGGCACCCATGTTGAATCTCCTATGGAGAGACCTTTTCTTCTCCCAGCTGTTTCTCAGACCTTTGAGTTACACAGGTGTTTTTGTTTATATCGGAGTAAAATTCCTCCCCCCTAGTTGTTCAGGTTTTCCTGATTTAATAATCCCACTAATTTTCTATTATCAGGGGGTTTCTAGGCATCATAGAGTCTCCCCAGGCTACGGTAGTAAACACAACCCGAATTTCTAAAGCAAACAGAAAAAAATTGCATTTTTTTTTAAAAGGAGAGTGCAAGAAGAGTAAAACTCCCTTTCAAGCTGTTGTATGTTTCTGGTGAGCTTCTGGTTCTGAGTACCATAAAAATAAGAGGCTATTGTTTATTATTAGAATTAAATGAGTTTACAAAGCACAAACCAACGGATCACTAGCTACTCTGGGGACAGCTTTTCCCCACATTGTCTGGATTTCCTGGTAGCAAAGAGCTCTTAGAAGTCTTGTTGCCATGGGCTATGTGCTCTGCCCTTCTCTTTGAGGGTAATAGAATCCACTGAGGGAAGTAAATGCCCCCCACCCCTGCTTCCATGCTCCCCATCCCAGCTCTGCCCTTTTTCACTGTCCTCTACCTGCACAAATGAAGTGGGGAGAGAGGTTCCAGGCCCATGGTTATAACATTAAGTTACCGAGCACCATCAACCTGAATAAAGTAGAGCAGAAGCCTTTATTTCCATAGGCAACACAGCTAGTGATATCTTGAAGAATATTAATGGGTCACCACTATCTATAGAGCACATCAAGGAGAATAGTGGGATCGGAATTTATTAAAATTAGTAACTCTTCCATGTAAGCATTTCTTCATGAAGACACTGCCCATTGTCATAAGGTGGAATCCATCCCTATGCAGAGGCCTGCAACACCGCTTAAGTCCTTTCAAGGACTATTAAGCCTTGTGTGAGATTTGTAGTGAAGGATGAATTTCACCTATAAAATGAATGGCCACGATGAGTGAAGTTTAAACAAATTAAAGAAACCGAAGAAATCTACTAAGTTTACATGAAGACTTACTACTTCCCAAACTTTTCTCTATGGTAAAGATGATCGTTACTTAGCCATGAAAACACCCACATATCCAAGCTCTGCTACAGGAATAAATAAATAAAAAAAACCCCACAGACAAATTAGACTTACTTTTAGCCCTTCTTTTCACAAGAAAGCTAAGGTGATCATAAGGAAATAAATGGGCGAGGGGAGAGGAACATATCATGAACAAAAGCAAAATAAATAAAGTATATGAATTGTTTCCTTACGTAAACTCTCCTGGGATATGCAACCACTCACAAAACCGTCGCTCATTTCACCAAAAACCAGTGACATCAGAGGAAGGCAAACTCCATTCAGTACTGCTGCTATTGTTCCAAATACCATAAGAGTTATATCCAGCCCGTCTGCATATCGAAACTGATGGGAATCAGTAAAAGAAGTAAATATCAGATTATTTTAGTCAGTGGAAACCAGTATGGCTTCCTGGTTGTTTGAATGTTAATAAAATAAACTATTTACAATAAAATGTTAGGAAGTTAATGCTCTGATTCATTTAACATTAGAATAGTATTTTGGATTATATGTCACATCATCATCAATGGAAATATAAAAGAGGTATAGAAAAGTTCAAGTGGCATCTCTCCTATGTTACCCTGTGTGGTGAAATGACTACAGATGGCATTGGGAGTGCTTCATATGGATAGAAGCAGCATTTGTAATTAGTTGTTACAGAGTTAACTACAATTCTAAAGCAGCTGACGGACAAAAATGAATGCAACAAACCTGGAATAATATGGTTTTGGAAGACATGAAAACTCACATTTCACTGCATGTGTACTAGACTAACATGTAGTTACTATCCTTACAAGTGTATTCTTGCTTACAATTGTGATTGGACCAACGATTTCAGATGGTTTGCTTTTTTCTTCTTTTTCTTTGTGTTTCCTGAAAGATAGAAATTAAACACGGGACATTTCCACTTTCACAAGATTGGTAAAAATATGTACAACATTTTACTTCCTAGCTATCTTATGTACTTACATAGCCCCCATTGCCATAGGATCTGAGTGCATCACAGTATTTTAAGAGTACTTACACTCACAACACCCTTGTGAGGTAAGGAAGTACTATAATCCCTGTTTTGTAGATGGGGGATGAAAGACAGGGAGATTAATGACAAAACTCTCAGGATTCCACCATTGACTTCAGTACGATCAGGGGTTCACATTAGGTGACTTGCCCAAGGTCATACAGGAAGCCTAAAGCAATGCAGGAAACTGAACCCACGTTTTCTGAGTCACAAAGTAGTGCTATAACCACTAGACCATTTGTGTTGGCTCTAATCCATTTGAATTCGGGCTGTTCTAGCAGACATGGTAATACTATTAAACCACTGAACCTTAATGGGATATTAAAGTAAAATATAAAAAACAAAAATTGCAAAAGAAAAAAAGTATGTAGTAAGTAGGCAACACAGATTAAAGCCATGATTCTGCAAGTGCTCCATGTGGCTGGATCCCTATATCTCTATGGAGGCAGGGTCAGTATCAGGACCATAGCGCTTGATGATCCTAAAAGCTCTTATCCACAGCAGTAGTTTTTATTTGTGTTTATTGATGTTTGCAGTGTTGGTGTAGCTGAGTTGGTCCCAGGATATGAGAGACATACCGTAGATGGGGTAATATCTTTTAGTGAACTGACGTCTGTTGGTGGATAGCTCAATCTTGGCCTTTCCACCAATAGAAGCTGGTCCACTAAAAGAGGATATCTCACCTACCTTGTCTCTCTTTATTCATGTGGAGTAATTCTATTGATTCCAGTGGGAATATTTATGTGACTAGATGGGGTGGGGGTGAAGGGGGGAAGACCCACCTGTAGATCTCACCTAAATTAATTCCAACCCCCAGGAATTATGTATTATCTTTGGGAGACACACAGTTTTGTGTTTTGGGGAAGAAGGGATGCAAATCTAAGTAAAGAAGGAAATTATACAACTAGGATAGTAAAAACATTACTATTGTTTTGTTTCTTTCTTTTTGCACAGGTAACATAAGATGTTCGTTTCTTCGCCAAAGCTTGGTTAGTAATATGAAATACAAATGTAACTTGATTTGCTGGGAATCATATTAAAAGACAAGAAATTAAGGCCCAAACTTTAGTAGTTGTTTCTTTTAAAGCAACAGTCCTCCCAGTCTCTCTGGTGGGAGGGAAGGAGAGGGGGCAGAGATCCCAGCCAGTCTCTCTCACCCAGGGCAGGTCCTTGGAGATGGGGAAGAAACAGTTATTGAAGCTGTCAGTGACCAGCATGACTGGAGCAGGGATGAGGTGGGGGCCCTCCTGGGACACTGGCCTCTGGGACCCCTGGACCCAGCTCCCTGCTTTCCAAAACCTTAAGATGCCATCTCCTCACTCTGCTTCCTCCACCCCTTCCATTTCTAGGCCCACTCCAGAAGGAGAGATGGTGGTTTGGGGAAGATACACATCTGCTGCATGACAGTTCAAAGCGGGGGAACCCCATATACACACATGCCTCTCAGAATGCAATGCATGTGTAAAGTGGGATCCTGGCGATGAAGAAATTGGGAATGCAGCATATGCGCAGAGCTGTGCAGCTCTTGATTAGCTAATCCAATAGGTCAGTGTGGAGCAAACGTGGCATGTAGAGACTTTATCTGTACATGTATTATACAGAGTATTATAGACTTTTAGCGCCATACATTTTTTGTAGTGACCTCTGCCACTGCACCCCCTTCTTAGGAAGAGGCTGGTTGGGTCCCTAGCTGGCAGTGAGAAGGGCATGTCAGAGGTGGGGCTGCAGTCTACAGTGCTGTGGGCCATAGGGCAGCCTGGGGAGACTTTTGTAATTTAGACAGACCCTCAGGGCTGAGTTACTCCTGGGGGCCTTTCCACCTCACACAGCAGCCTAGAATTGAAAGGGTACAAAAGGTGACTGAATTCTGTGATGCTTCTCTTAAATTGTTATCAGTGACCGTTTTAATTTTCAAAGTTTTTTATTTTTTTAACTACATAGAGGAAAGATGTAAGATACAGTCAAAAGAACCACAGTTTATGGCCCGGCTTCAACCCAGTGGCTGGCATAGACAGTGACCCTACCAATCTTTGTTAGAAATGATGTTGCGTTCATCCAAAAACTGCAACCCCAAGGAAGCTACAGGTACCATCACAACCCACAAGTTGGTGGTATTATTTGGGGATGGCGTATAGCCATGGGTTGTCAGGATGTGCTGATTCAACTTCAATGGGGCTTTTATGCCATTTAAAGCTGACTACCCTCAACAAACCCTACAGAAGCATAGGTGGTGGCAACACCTTCCTTCAGGGTGAGCACCCCTATCGGGACTAGGGAGCTGCAGGGGGATAGGGAGCTGTAATTTATATCTCTCTGAGCCATCTTGTGACACTTGCCCTTTTTAGATGTACTGCCAGACTGGAGTGCATGCCAAAAGCAGAGCAGCATATTGGATATCTTTTTATACACTATTAAGAAATCAATT